AGAACGATGGGATGCAGAACTCAAATACTAGTAAGAAGACCAGACTTAATAATCTGACTAAGACTGGAGGCACCCCAGAAAGCATGGCCCCTGGTCTCTCCATCACCCGAGAACTAAAACAATTTCCGAGGCCAACTCTTCAGACAGGGATTGGACTGGACTGTGGGACATACATTGATACTCGTGAAGAATGTGCCTCTTAGACAAGTAGATATAAGAGACCAAAGGGATGGCTTCTGTCCAGAGGTGAGAGGGGAAGGCAGAGAGAGTTAGAAGCTGGTTGAATGTTCATGGGGAATCAGGGGCGGAGGGCAGGAGTGTGCTGTCGCAGAATGGGGTGAGCGGTTGGTGTCTCATAACAATGTTAAAAAAAAAAAAATTCTGTATGGGAGACTAACTTGAAATGTAAACTTCATTTAATTACATCAATTTTTAAAAAAAAGTGAAAGCTGAATGAAGAAACAATATTTTAGGATTATAGATAGTCATGTCCCAGTTTTGGCAACTTTTACATTACAAGTATTTGCAGGCAAATTAGGAGATTGAGTACCCATTTAGAGTAAGGAATGTCTCAGTTATCCTTACATTACAACCGAATAGTTTCCATTAGTTCTCTTGCCCCAAGACAAATGAAAGTCAGTAAATAAATTTATACAGGAGAGTAAAAGACCATACTTGGACTTTTCAAAAGACCATTCTAAGGGGGAACTGAGAAGAATTAAACCATCAAATTTTGGGGGGTAAGGATGGGGAAGAGGGGAAGAGGAGTAAAGTATATACTTTCGTTTCTCCAAGGTCTCTAAGAGTAAGAAGCTCTAAAAGTACGAAGACTGTGGAATTTAGAACAAGAATTCCCAGGGAATCTTCCACCCAACTTTCAGAGGTTATTCAATCTCAGAAAGACTCAGATGTGATAGGTGAAAAAATAATAAAATCAGTTGATTTAGTTCAGTTGTTGAGTGACTCAGTTAATTTGCTCAGTTGCTTGACTTTTATAAGCACAGCATAGTACAAAGCCTCTCTGGGTCATAGTAATTCTCAATAAATAAAGATTCAGGATGCAGATTACCATGTAAGAAAATACTGTGAAGTTCGTATCAGTTGAAATGCAAAGAAACACATCAAAAAGGTGTTACTTTTTCTTCCAAAGATTCTGTTTAGTGATTTCAAAAGGTAATAACAGGAAAGAAAGAAATGCCCAATTGGTCTTCAGTGCTGCAAATGAAGTTCAATCTTCAACACTTAGTGTTAAATTTTTAATTAAGAAAGGAATAGTATACTCACTGGACAATGAAATAAACAATCATGGTGTGAAATACACTTACCATGTTTTGTACTAGTAGCTAATACTTTATAGGGCGTTAATTTCAAATCCAGATTTTCTTTCCGTAACAGCTTCCAATCAAAAGAGAAAACGTGAAGACTGTTATGAAACAGTTTTGTGGACATACATTATAGCAGTTTAATATAACAGATGTTTAGGAGGTAAACCTAAATTACGGCAATTTATTAGTTAACTTGAATTATCACAATCACCAAAATAAATATATCAAACATTTACATGAATGATGGTATGCCAAATTTTTTATTTTACTCTAAATCACTGTCAGTTTTCAGAACAGGGTTCAATGAACAGTAGGGTTCCTCCATGATTTATGCACTCCTTTCTTGACAAAAAGTCTTAAAACTCAGAAAAAAGGAAACACATGTAGTTTCATTTTATACTCATCCCAGGAGCCATTTTGCAGTGTACAAAAGCAACTAAGTATGTTCAAGGTCAAGTGGAGATTGTTGAGCTTCTTAAGACTGTACTTAAATGTTACAAATACTTTGTCAATATACAATGTGTGCGCTATAGTTTTATAAAATGAAAAAATATCCCCCACCAACATAAAGTTATGTTCACCTTGTCCATGAGTGAAATGATTTGAAGAATAAGTTGATCCTGGCGTAAATCATCTCCATGCTTAAATATAACTGGATACTTGCCTCCATCTTCTGTCTTAAAGAACAACTGTGCAGGCATAAGGGCACTCTGGAGGAATAAAAAAAAATCTAGACGTAAATTAATAAATAAAGACTTACTATACTCAGAGAAACTGACATATAAGGAAAACGAGCAGGTAAACAGTACCTAAATAAAACAAGATGGGTTGGCAGCAAAATGCTGTAGGGTACAATGATGAGAACAATGAACTAGCAAATAGTTAAAAGAGTACACGGTAAAAAGAACGTAAGTTTTATAGTCAAACAATCATGGATATGAATCCAGGCTCTGCCAGGAACTAGCTGGGTGATCCTCATCTGTAAAACAAAAGTAACGCCTCATCTGCATAGTTGCTGAGGTGATCAGAAACAATAGGGGTCAAGGGTCTGGCACCATGCCGGACACACAGCAGGCAGTCTATATAGGTTTGCCATCATTATTTCTATTATTACAGCTAAAATGGAGTAAAGGAGATGAAACAGTACAGGATAAAAATGTACCAGTTAAGAAGTCAGGAGCGTTGGTTACTAACTACAAGTATATAACAACTTGTGTTATTTTGAGACTAAAATTACTCATTTATAAAATAAAGGAGATCGCAAACATCTGTATCTTTTCTTCTGGGAAAAACTATATGATGTTTTTTTAGTTTAGGTACATATTGAAATTAACAATAAAAAAATATAAATTAAATTCAGAATCATGCAAAATCTCACATAGAGCAGACACTGAGACCACTACTCTGGAGGAGAACGGTCAGAAAACTGTTCTGAGAGATGAGCAGTGAGAAACAATTATAAATGATAGAAATTTGGAGAAATGTCAGACAAATAAAATAAAATAGGCCATGAGAAATAGCAGCACAAAAAGTATCACAGAGGGATGAATAGGCATGTGATAAAGATGGAAAAATGTTAGCGTCAGAGTCAAAGCAATAGGTACACAGTTGTTAACCACAAAAACTACCTTGTGCCCCAGTCCATAAAACCTCAAGAATAACTGGAAATGATCTTTCTTAAGAGAAATGGTAGGTAGGAGGATCTCTGTTGTGATATCCCGTATGGAAAAACTATAGATCATCTGAGCTGACAACTGCAACGTAACTAGCACTAATCCCAGTGCCTTAAGGGGTCCATTCCCCTTAAAGATCTAGCTTTGGCTCTCAAGTTAAGGTCTACGAAATTAACTTTTTTTATATTTGATTGTTGTTGTTGTTGAGAATATTCACAGCAGAACAAGTACTAATTCAACAATTTCTACATGTACAATTCATTGACACTGATTACAATCCTCAAGTTGCAACCATTCTCTCCTTTTCAGAGTTGTTCCTCCCCCCTTAACATAAACTGACTGCCCTCTAAGGTTCCTAACTATCTGTTCAAGTTGCTTTGTCAATTTGATCCCACACAGATAGATCTTAAAAGAGGAAAAGTACAAGGCAGACATTCTTTACTAATTTAGCTAAACTACTGCTTGGTTTTAAGAAGACTTCAGGGGATATTTTCGATTTAAATTTTAAAGATTATCTCAGGGCAATAGTTCTGGGGGTGCATCCAGCCTTCATGGCTCCAGAAAGTATGGATTCCATGAAAATTTGAAATTCTGTTCTGCCATTTTCTCCCTTTCAATCAGGATTCTTCTATAGAATCCTTAATTAAAATGTTCAGTTAATGGTAGGCGGGCACTATCCACTTCTTCTGGTCTCATGGTAAAAGAGGTAGTTATTCACGGAGGCAATTAGCCACACAGTCCATTTCTCCAACTCCTGGGTCTCCTTCTTCCTCTGTTGCTCCAGGCAAATAGAGACCGATTGTGCCATGGATGGCCCAAGCTTTTAAGACCCCAGGCACCACACAACAAACTAGAAGATAGAATAGAAGCATTAAACATGCTATCAGGCCAATTAACTGGAATATCCCATGAAACTATGACCCTAAACCTCCAAAGAAACCAAATCGCATGAAGTGTTTGGTTGTACGTAAATAGCCTCCTTTTGCTGTTGTTCTTATAAATATATCATCACACACCTTTTGCCAATTCAGCGTTTTACAGGTGTAAACTTATTGACAGCAATTACATTAATCAGCTGTATAACTCTACCCTTAATCAGTGTGAGTTTTCCATCACCGTGAACTAAATTTCAGTGCTTCATAAGCAATAAACCCTCCTTTCTTCCTCTCTCCCACTCCTGGTAACCACTAAAAAACTTTGGTCTCTATACATTTGCCTGTTTTTGTCTTTTTATATAAATGAGGTCATGTAATATTTGTCCTTTTGTGATTGACTTATTTCACTCAGCATAATGCCTTCAAGCTCCATCCATGTTGCAGCATGTATCAAGACTTCACTCCTCTTTCTGGCTGAATAGTATTCCACTGTATATATGTACAATATTTTGTTTAACCACTCATACACTGATGGGCATTTAGGTTGTTTCCACCTTTTGGCTACTGTAAATAATGCTGCAATGAACACTGGTGTACATATGTCTCTTTGCATCACTGCTTTCAAGTCATTGAGTGTATTCCTAGCAGTGGAATTGCTATGTCATACAGTAGTTCTATTTTTAGGTTTTTAAGGAACCACCACACTGTTTTCCATGTTGCATTTCCACCAGCAAAGGGAAAGGGTTCTAATTTTCCCACATCGTCAGCGACACTTTACATATATATTTTTCATCTTAGCTATCCTAGTGGGATAGTGAAATGGCATCTCATTGTGGTTCTGATTTGCATCTCTCTGATGCCTAATGACACTGGGCATCTTTTCCTGCCTTTGGTGGCCATTTGAATGTCCTTCTTTGGTAAAATGTCTACTCAAGTCCTTTGCTCATTTTTTGATTGGGTTGTTTGTCTTTTTGTAGTTATGTTGTCAAAGTTTTATATACAGTTTGGTTATCAGATGCTTACTGGATATATGGCAGCTTGTCTTTTCACTTTTTTGGTAAAGTCTTTTGACAAACAAAAGTTTTTAATTTTTATGCAATCCCGTTTATTTGTTTTGTCTTTTGTTGTTTGTGCTTGTTATTATATTAGATAATCCGTTGTTAAAAGCTAGGCCTGATAGCAGTGTCCTTATATTTTCTTCTAAGAATTTTAGTTTTAATCTTTACATTTAGTTCCTTAATCTATTTTAAATGTTTTCTACAAAATATTCTTAAAAATACTAGAAAAAGAGGTCCTTAACATTTTCAAGGGGTTCATGAAAGGATAAGGGGGATCCATGAATCACCCTGCAATTGTAGGCAGAAATTGCCATGTATATGTGAGCGTATGTCCCTTTTTCTAAAGGGTACAATCCATCACTTTTACCAGATTCTAAAAGGCATCCATGACTCAAAAACAATTAAGAACTACTATGCCAGAGTTTTTCAGTAGTTGGCCCATAGACATTATTTCTAATCTCTAAATCAAAATTTTTAAGGATGCCCATATACTTAACAGCTGGAAGGAAAAAAATGAAAACTAGGTGTCAGGATCAAAAAGCTGCCTCATGATATTTTATTTACCACCTACTTTGTGTAGTGTTAAGACAATTATAATATTGTATAATTAAGGATAAAAAGTGTCCAGAATTCATCTAACAATAGTATCAGATACACATTTTTATATCCCACTCTTCTAAGTCTCATTCTATGTCTTGGTCTTTCCCACTATATTTGAAAAAATGGCAAAACTACTATTTTAACTTACTGCTCTTGATTATTCCTTAACCAAACCCGCTGCCACTGAGTGGTTTCCGACTCATAATGACCCTCTAAGACAAAGCAGAACTGCCCCATCTGGTTTCCAAGCAGTGGCTGGTAGATTCGAACTGCCAACCTTTTGGTTAGCAGCCAAGTTCCAACCACTACACCACCAGGGCTCCTGATTATTTCTTAGAGAAAAGGAATATTAGAAGCTCGTCTTGCGTTAAGCGCTTGGCTGCTAATCAAAAGGTCAGCGGTTTGAATCCACCAGCCACTCCACTCCACAAGAGAAAGACATGGCAGTCTGCTTCCGTGAAGATTACAACCTTGGAAACCCTATGGGGTAGTTCTACTCTGTATTACAGGGTCCCTATTAGTTGGAATCAACTCAGCGGTAATCAGTTTGGTTTTTTTTGGTTTGGTCTTATTTGGAAGTTCTAGCCCAAAGGAACCCCAGTTGTTACATGTACACTGCCTTGTGTGCAGCTTTTTACATGTCATCCCCAACTGGACTGTAAGCATGAACGAATAAACATCTGTATTGTATCTTTCATAGCAGTATTTTTTAAACTGCAGGTTGTACTCCATTGAATTCTGAAACCAATAAAATAGGTTGTAAGCCACACTTAAAAATGAATGAAATAGAATAATCTTTAAAAGAATAGAAAATAACACGTAGCAAGAGTATTATTTATGAAACTTTCGTTTCAGTTGTGTGTGCTAGACTCAAAATAGGTTGCTTTAAAAAAAAATTTCTCAAAAGATGTGAACTATTTCTTACTTTAACTTTACACCTTTTAAAATACATTAGTCATTCTATGAATCTTTGCGTATTTCATACAAAGTAATACTCAAATGCAACTTATGCCCACCCACCCATAGAATCACAATACCTAAAGTACATGTCTCACAGAGATCTTTAAGTATAAAGCCCAGCCAGTAATGACGATCAACAGGTAATGATGCTCAGTCCTCTGACCCTTCAGCTTGATTAGAGAAGGCAGCTGTCAGCAGTTGTCTACACCTGTCCAACTGGTGGCCAGCCAAAAGAAAGTCTGGAGTGTTATTAAGGACTAAAGAAAACTGCTACTTGAAAATACAAGAAAAAAGTTCCTAGTTAATAGATATCAAATTAATAAATGTCAAAAAAGCTAAATGCAACTCATATCTAACCATCTGAACTTAAAAACTGAATGCATAATTAACTACTTTTACTTTAAAAAAAAAAAAACCTTGCAGGAGAAAAATAGGTGTGGCTCTGGTTAACAAATAGTTTAAAGGATTAGCGATTAAAAACAACCCAGAGATAAAAACATTTTACATATTTCATATAAAAATGCCCATGTAACAGTAACACAGGAAAATCTTAAGATCAAAACACACTGAAGGCACCTTTTTATCTAGCATTTACAAATCAAATAAAGTTATAAATATTCCCTGCCATTTAATAATTTTCCAAGATACTGTCCCTGTTCCAGCTTTAAAGAATTAGGCTCCAAACATGTACAATAAAGGTCCATCACAATTACCTTAAATAATGTAGCTGTTTCTGGGATTATTCCTCTAATTTTCACCTGGGGTTCTAAAGGCAATGGGATAAGTTCTACATCTGACAAATTCATCTTTTCATTGTCTCCCAGCAGTGCCTGTAGTCTCTCATTCTAGAACACATGAGCAGGGATTAAGTTAAAATGGTAAAGCAGTTTATAAAACATATCATATAGACATAATAATTGACTCTACTAACTTTAAAATACTTGCAAAGCACCACAAAAAATATATGCAAACTATCATCAAAGAGATAGCATGTATCAGGAGCCTAACAACAGCAGCAGCAGCCTGCTTCAAAAGGAGCAATCCCGGACTAAGAAGCCAGACCTTCAAAGGAAGAATAGGGAATGTATTTCTTTTGCTACAGCAGAAAAAAAAATCAGGAAGATATTCCAGTCGGACTTAAATATTCAATTTCTCTTTTCAAAGGATTTGTGAAGACACAGACAGAAACTGTTATTTCATTTGAAGCTTTATTTTGCATGACCAAATATTAAGTGAGCATTTTACTATGCTGCTCTGGTACATGTTTTGAGTTTAAGAAGGAAACTCAGTTCACCTGTAGAAACTTAGACCCTACCTTTACCTTCTATTGACTGTCTGATCAAACTTTTCCTAAGGTATCATCATCATTCATCTTCTTCTGCTCACATTAATCCTGGCATTAAGCGAAGATTTCAGAACAACCAGAAAAATCCAAGTCACGGTAAAATAGCTCTGTCATTTAGAAACATTTATAGTGTTTAGACCAAGCCTGTCTATTCAATTTCAAAACAATTTCCTTAGAAAGATATAGGAGTCTTGCATTCTCTAATAAGGTGAGCTTGTTCTTTAAGCGGGAAAACCTGACTTGCCAATCTTGGCAGGATAAAGCATTCCAACTGCCATAATGACTGAAAAGACGTAGTATGCATCAAAGGGGAACTCGGAATCAGTGACAGTACAGTAGTTCAGAAAAACAATGTTATTAAGGACTACCAATATATAAAATTAAATCCCTTCCCTTTAGTCAACACTCCAAATCTCCTTCTGAATGATGAAATGTCAAGTTAAAATCAACAGAAAACTGGAATGAATCTCTACATCCTCTTTACAAAAGTCAAAAAATAAATGAACTGAATAAAATTTAGCCCCGACTAAATGTATGATTAGATATACTAATATGAAGAAATGTCAAATAATGTTAGTTTCAAGTTATCTTATCTTCCATTTCTAGTTGAGGTGCTGATAAACAGTAAGATAACCAGAAAACAGACAATAAGAGAATGGCGAGGAATCCAGCCACTTCTCACCACCTCCACTGCTATACCCCTGGGATCCGAACCACCGTCATCTCTCACCTTGATTATTATAACAGCCTCCTGACTTCTCTTACCTTTCAACCTCTGCCTCCTACAGTCTCTTCTCAAAAGCACCCAGAATGCTGCTGTTAAAATGAAAGTCTGGTCATGTCACTCTTCTATTCAAAATCTCCAATAGTTTCCTCTCTCACTCAGTGTTTAAAGTCCTTACGATGATTTATGAAGACATATTCCAATTGGTCCCCCATTATGTGTCCTCATCTCTACCAGTCTCTCCCACACTCATTTGGTTCCAAATATCTTGGACTTCTTCACATTTCTCACATATGCCACAGTAAACCTCAGGGCCTCTGCACTAGCTATTCCCTCTGGCTAGAATGGTCTTCAGATATTCACATGGCTTGCTTCCTCATCTGCTTCAGGTGATTATCCAAATGTCAACTTCTCAGTGAGGCCATTCCTGACCATTCTATTAAGTCAAACACTGCCTTACTATTGGAACCCAGTACTTCCTATTTCCCTTTCTTCCTTAATTTTTTCTCCATGGTATCTAACATTCTATATAATATTATGTACTTTATGTCTATGTAAATAAAATTGTTTACCGCATCATGAGAAAATGACTGAAAGGATTTTTAAACAATGTTGAGACTGATTATATTTAGAGTAGTCTGACTTAAAATATAGGCTGTGTGGCACATACAAAATTCATTATGGGGGGCTCTGCGCAATGTCCACAATAGGTAGTTATCCTCCAGAATAGCTACAACTAAGATATACCTAGAGGCTCATTTGTCTGCTAGCTAGAAGAGTATGTGACACAAAAACAGACTGTGATTTCAAACATAAGCCCCAAACTGAAAGTCACAAGAGCAAACACTCCCTCTACTGGTGGGGCTTGGGATCACACAGCCTCTCACATAGATACCTCTCTGTGGAGAAGTGCTCCAGGGAGAACAGCAGTAGGGATTCATTTATTTAACCATGGTTTGCGATTCTTCTCAACGACAAGGAAAATGCCAACTCAATAAAAACATGTTTCTCCTCAGCCTATTTTCCCCTACCTAGCACTGTGGATATTACTCTTTTCAAATATTTCTGCTAGCATCTCTTTAGACCTGATCCCCTGACTGTGAACTCCTGACTCATTTCTTCATCTTTTCCTCTTTCCACTTTTCTCTCACAAGCCCGAAAAATAAGAATAATAGTGAAATGTGTTGTACTGTTTTACAAAAGCCATCAAGAAAGATCAGCCTGTTATCCAATGGGATTAGGTAGAGAAAAGATGTGAAGTAAATCCTCTACATAATTTAGGCTACCAACACAGGAAAAAATGACATATGAATAGATACTTAATTACACTACTCATCAAGTAGAGGCTTAGCAGTTGAGATAAAGATTAATGTACTAGCCAAGAGAACAGATACAAGGCCAGTGTTATTAACAACTAGTTGTGCAAACTTGGAAAAGTACTCTAAACCTTCCTTCTAAATTCTAGTTTAAAAGATCTCTAGATCATAACAAATTTTAAGATACCAAATTTTATGATACTAAAATTCTAAAATGAGAGCCAGTAGAGCACTGGAGATAAGAATACGAACTCTAGTAGCTGTGTGACCTCAGGCAAGTTACTTAACCTCTCTATTCCTCTTTTTCCTTATAATTGGGATTATAATAGTACCCAGTTTACAGTGTTGTTGTGAGGATTAAAGGAATCAATATATATAAGCTCATAAAACAGCATTCCCTACATTATTAGTGCTTATAACTGATCCTATCACTACAGTTACATGATAAGAATTATCATAAATAAATCACTCAAAAAATACAATAGCCAAAACTCAGTATTTTATACTGTCAAGCCATCAATTTTATACTGCCAAGCCATCATTAGTCATAAACAGAAAGCAAAGCCCAGAAGAGGTTCACCTTTTTCTTACGATTTCCACTTTCACGCTGCACTGCCTTCATTAGATGCACCAGCCGATCTACAAATGTCTGCTGTGCAGCCAGCAAAGACCGCATAACTCTGACAGACTTATCACCCTGAAGGAAACCAAAGGAAAGTAAAATAAGTTCTCTGTAGCATAATGATCAAGGTGTCTTTAATAGCATGGGCGATCTTTTATTTATTCTTCTAATAGCTGCAAACGTCAATACAAGTAAAACGGAAAAGGATTATCTTGATTCAGAGATAATGAGAAATATGCTATCTTAGTTAAATACCATCAATCCTTCCATGGTTGAAAACTTACCTGAGTACTCAGTACTGAGTACTGGTCTATCAACAATAGCATTTTTTCCTACATAAAACCATGTAAATAGATAGGATTCTTTCATCCATCATGCATTCACTCATATTCAATAGATATTCAACAAATATCAGGAAATCTGTGATGTCTTCAGAAATACACTGGCATGTGGCAATAACAAAGATAACTATCCTCAAGGAACTACAAATCTATTTTTTTTTTTTTTTAAATACAGTACTCAAATAGCAACATAACATGTGCATGCTTAGTAAAATACAAGTCATATGAACTAAATGCTGGCTGCTAAATGAAAGGTGAGTGGTTGGAACCCACCAGCTGCTCCATGGCAGAAAGATGTGACAGTCTGCTTCTGTAAAGATTACAGCCTTGGAAACCTAGTATGTGGCAGTTCTACTCTGTCCTAGAGGGTCGTTATGAGTCAGGATCGACTCGAGAGCAATGGGTTTGGTTTTGGGTTTTTAAACTAAATGCTATAATTTATATACAGTGATTACCAGTTCATAAATTAGTATAAAATACATTTTTCCATTTAATCTTCCAATTATCCTGGTATGGTTGGCTGGACAAATATTATCATCCCCATTTCAAAGCTGTGGAAATTTAAGCTTCGAGAAACCAAAATGTGTTCACAGGGTGACAAAGGCTGTAAGTGACAGAACTGAAGACAGAACTGTGACACTGCTTTCAGAATTACAAGAACACTAGGAAGAAATGGTCTCACACTTCTCCATAAACTGTTATGTTGTTGTCAGCTGTTAGCTGCCATCAAGTTGATTCCAACTCATGGCTACCCCATGTGTGCAGAGTAGAACTGCTCCACAGGGTTTTCAAGGCAGTGAATTAAAAACTATCTAAGAAGCAAAAATATATGTTATACATACAATCACTGCACTACGACCATTGTCAGATTTCTGTGAATGCATCTATTCTTGATAAGAAAAATAAAACACAGAGAGGGGGGCAAAGTTTTGTTTTCTTTTGTTCCATGTATGGGCTTATTTAATTAATCAAGGGTCAGCAAACTTTCTGTAAATGGCCAAAGAGTAAATATTTTAGGCTTTGTGGGCCATACAGTCTCCATTCCAACTAGCCAACTGTTGTTGCAGCAGAAAAGCAGCCAAAGACAATATGAAAACAAATGAGCATGCCTACGTTCCAGTAAAATTTTACAAACACTGAATTCTGAATGTCACGTAATTTTCACATATCACAAAATATTCTACTGATTTTTTTCAACCATTTAAAAACGTAAAAACCACCGTTAGCTCGTGAGACATACAAAAGCAGGCAAGAGGCCGGATTTGCCTGTGCACTGCCATTTGCCAGTCCCTGCATTAAACAGTTACCTTCAACAACGCTTGGCTGAATCTTCTCATCACATTCAAGTACATCTCATGGGTCTTTGGATCTCTCTGTTGAGTATCTTGATCTTCACATTCCACTATCACATACCTTAAAAGTATTTTTTATGTCATTTATATGACATCAAATAAAACTCAGATTCATTTTGTAAACAGCTATACCTTTTCATTGAAGTAGATTAATTCATACTTGCAAAATAATTAAGTGGGAGCAATGAAATACACTTTACCATCACTCTTTTGAAAGTGAAAAATTAAGGAGTGACATATACAGCCATCAATAAAAGGTAAATTAATAATAGTAATGCTTTACATTTGTGCAATATTCTAAATTTTTGCCATTAAAACAAGCATATTTGCCTAGTACTTTATAAAGCAGATAGAGCATCAGCATCCTCAGAGATCATCTAGGATCACATCTACCGAGTAACTCAAGAACAAGAACTAATGTCTCTATAATATAAGTATTATTTTTGGTATTACATAAGGCTCTCTTGTTCTGAAAAACACTTTGCAGCTACTTCTCTCAGTAACCTACTTCTGAAAAATGAATACAGTTTATAAACTGATTTTTTCCTTCCCATCCAATTTCCAAGTAATCCTCGACTTTTGTCTCAGAAAACTGTGGTGTTAAGAGAGCTAGAGAAATGCTAAACATTTTCACAAAAACAAACTGCTTATACAATTACAAAGGTATATAATCAGTGGTCTGGAATAGATTTTAGAGATCGCATATGGTTTCTAAATGTTCTGATGAGAATGAATCATAACAGCAAATACATTTTATATCACAACTCAGTATACACAGGCATATGTGTACACACACATGCATAAAAAACTGGGGAAAATTTTTTTTTTCACAAAGTGATACCCTTACAATGAGCAATACACTAATATCTGCTACTCTGTTGTACTTGATTTTTCTTTAAATAACATACGCTAGCTGTGAACTTTGAATTGATTTCAATTGATCATGATGTGTAGTTTGAAAAACAGATCTAGATCTTGCTTGTTTTATCAACAGTGAAATTTAGAGAGGTTGTATTTTGCCCATGATAGCACAATTAGTTGATGGTAGAGCTAAAATCAGAACCCAGAACTTTGACTTCTCAGACCAAAGTTCTTTCTACTCTGAGCTGACTCTAATATTCTTTATCTTTAAAAACTACATGAACTTTTCAACCCCCTTAACTTATAGGATTTTTCGATTGTCAAGGCACAGCCACTTATTATTTTCCCTTATGATAGTTTTGGGAAAGAGTATATTCAGCCATCTAGAAGGTAAACTTCATGAAAGCAGAGAGCTTTCTGCTGAGCACTTCCATGTGAGAGCTCATAGTAGGTGCTCAATATCTTACTGTTAAATAAATGAATGACTCCAATCTCATGGATTTTACCATTATCTAAATATTGGTAATTCTCAAATATGACTCTCTTTATTCATACCTAAGGTCAAATTTTCCATTTCATTATACAGCCTGCCTTCCCATTAATTCACCTTAATTTTAAAGCACCTGACTCACTTTTCAAGATACTGTTTATCATCTTTCAATGAACATGTTTAAAACTGAACTTATCACACTGAATGGGACATTTTTTTCTACCTCTACTGAAGGACTTTCTCATGTAGCAGAGTTCATAAACTCTGCCAAAAAGGGAAATGAAGTCTTGATATATACTGATGTGGTCACTTTTCCACATGTTAAGTCTTAGCTCCATTAATACGCTACAAGGAAACTGATGCCAGGGTCCATATCTTAAAAACTTTCAGTATACCCTTGTATAACCAACAGTCTTATTAAAAACACAAAAAAGTGTTTTAAAGATTGACAACAGTCTTCCCATATCTACCTCCCATTGCAATGTTAGTGATAATAACAGATGTTCTAGCAGCCCCCAGAGTCATATAACTCAGAGTCCCACCTCTCCTTTTCTTATATTTAAGTGATTCTGGGTTATATCACGTTCTCAACAAGAGTCCTAAATAAAACATGTATTACTGAATAAAAAATGTCTTCTAGAACTGTGCTGTCCAGTACAGTAGCCACTAGACATATATGACACTAGATACAAATTTAGATTTAAATTAGTTAAAATTAAATGAAATTAAATATTCAGCTCCTCAGTCACACTAGCCATATTTCAAATGCTAAGCAGCCATACGTGCAGTATTGATGAACATTTTCATCATCATAAAAAGTTCTATTGAACAACTCTGTTCCAGGTGAATGAGCTAAGAATGGTTAAGAAATAAGTTCTTATTTCCTATTCATGGTATTCCAGGAACATCAAACAGTGGTTCTATACTATAAAACTGTCAATATAGTCTTATCCACACCCAATTCATGTGCTTCTACCTTTCACTTAAAGTTTTTTTACTATCTCTGTCACCTCAATATATTCATTATTTTTTCTTGCACAGAAAACAAATTTCTAAGTGGACAATACAAATGACAACATACAAGCCCCATTGCTGTGTTCAGGTCTCCTTGACCATCAAGTAAACATTATGGCCATGGCCATTTCCTATAATTGAGGATACCTGTTGATGTTAATAAGGGTCAAGTATCAAAGACCTCTCAGAATCATTCAAGCCTAAGTTCTACTGCAAAAAGAAAGTCATTTTTATTTTTATTTTTTAAAAAGTGTCATCTCCAAATATGCAGGACAAGGTTAGGTCACTAGAAGACCTAGATTTAAATCACTTGTGAGTTTTCTACTCACATCAATAAGCTAGATTCTACAAAGCACTCTAAGATATTCCCTTAAAGGCTGTCATCTTAAAGTAGAAGTGTAGATAAAATTTGCTGGGGTATCCACTGTAAGGTGACATGTTTCCTGGTAATTATGTTTTGTGGGATAAATAACCTTTATCACCTTGAAAGGTCAAAGCACTGAAAGTTTACTCTCAATTTCAACATGCTGGAATGGCTATAAAAATAAAAAACTGGAAAGATTTATAGATCCTGATGCCCAACACCTTACAGATTGGAGACTATAACTCCCCTCTGTGGCTTAAAAGGCTGACACTATTAATTTTAAAAGGATTGTCTGCACAATTATAGGCCCCTAAGGATTCAGCTACAGCAGGAATCCCATTTAAATCACTGGAAAGGGAACAACAAATGAAAAAGAAAATTCAAAGTGTTCAAAAGGAAACAGCACAATCAATTAAAATTTATGTTTTAATACAACTGATATAATAGAGAAAGTTTAGAGTAAGAGGCACTGGAATTCTAATGTTTGATTAATATTTTATACTATTCTGTCCATGTTTAAAGGAAGAAAATGACCATTTTAAACCAACTATTTGAAATCATTTCCCATATTGTTACCCTTCAATTACAGGCACAGTGTCTACCAAAGTCAAGAATCCATATTAATAGCTTTTTTCTCCATGAGTATTTCTGAATATGTAATATACAGACTGTAAATACGGGAAAAACAATTACTCCTAAGAGAATAAATAGACACAGCATATGCTATTGCTTCAATGAATCAGAGATATAGTGGGGAAACACAAATCAAATTTAAGTTTGATGGAATGCTTATAAAACTGGGAGCTGGGGCTGCACTTTATTATCTATGGAGAAAACAAAGTGCTCTTTATGAACAGAAACTGTTGCCTTGTTGAAAACTGCTCATCTCACAGGTTTCCTACTGTTCAGCTGCTTTCAGAACAATTTGAAAACTCTTTCTACTTGAAATAAGAGATGAAAAGATTCCATCAAAACTAATTTCAAGTTTTACAATGGCATCTGGTCTATAGTTAAAGCCAAATAATACATAATACCAAAACACCACATAATAAGTATATACACATACAGCTCTCTTCCTATAATACTGACTGGTCTAGACTATAAATTTTGAGCCAGAGACAACTTTCCATAAACATTGTAAGGAAGCAAAAATATTTAAATTCTTAAATCATTAAAAACAACATAAAATCTTCTTAATCTTAAAATATCTAAGATGCTTACAAGTACTGTCTCAAAATATTGGCAACACACCCAACACATTTTTTTATTCTTTATTTCCTTTTAAATATTTACTTAGATTTTCATGAGAAAGTATTTTTCCATAACACCAGTGAATATACACTCAAAAATTCAGACTGGAATAATGGACAACATTAAGAAGCAACAGGTTACTTTAAAAGTAAATATTTCAAAGGCAAATGGTGATCAACAACTAGCTAAACATTCAGTGGGTATATTTTCAAAGATACACAGAAATTTAACGTGAGGAAAATGTAGTTTTATGAATATTATATTAAACTGCTAAAGCAAAAGCAGGGAACTATTTTTCTTCCCACTACTGAGGCCAACAGGGGAAAAAAATTGCAGTTTCCAAGGAGGGAAAAAATGACTTTAGTTAAGATTGTTGACAGTGGGTTTTCTCTGTTGTAAAGAGAACCATAAAGGTTACACTAAGCAGATGCTGATGCAAACAGGAGACACCTGTGTTGTTAAACGCACTCCCTACATCTTGGCTCCAGAGGCAATATCCAGAATAATACCACTTTTTGAGAGTGGGAGAATGAAGTTAAGGTTTGATTCGACCCACAGGACAAGTTCTCCAAACTCAGTTTAAAACAAGATAGCATTTTGTTTAAATTCTTCATGTCTCATTGAATAAATAATGCTTCATTTTTATTCAAAATAATGAGCTTTCAGAACGCACATCTATTAATTTACACCATTTAAATTAAGGCAGTAAATACAATTAGATCAGAAATCATTTCTAAAGTTAAAAAAAATCAAGTATGTCAGAAAGTTTAAAAAGTGGTATTTAGTTTTAAGTTTCCTCTCAAATGGTAGGGAGGCTTGAGACAGGGCTTACCTAGCTGGCTCAGTCCTTGCTTGCACTGTAAAGCTGGGTGAGGCTCTCTTATGCAGTGTTTAAGGAGCCCTGGTGGTGCAATAGTTAAGCAGTTCAAACCTACCCAGAGGCTCCACAGGAGAAAAACCTGGCGATCTGCTCCCGTAAGGATTACAGCCTAGGAAACCCTGTGGGGCAGTGGTACTCTGTCATATAGGGTCACTGCAAGTCACTCAGGAAACCTATTCTCACATGTAAAATACAGATGTGTATTTAACTCCACAAGGACAAATGAGAAAAGTTACTGAAAGGACTCTGTAAATGGCAAATTGCTAGATAAATGATCCAGTCCTAGTTCAGGTTCTACCAAGTTCAGTTATATCATGGTATTTGCCACTTTCTAATATCTCTGTCTCAGTTTCTTCATTTATAAAATGAGATAATAGAACTTCAAATTCCAACTTTCTATTTTTGCATGATTGCAATGTTTTGGTAACTAAAGTGAAAATATACACTTTCTGAAGGACTGTGAAGTATTAAGACTGTTTAAATAGCATTAAAACGCAAACAAACCCAAATTAAAAAGCCCACTACTTTTCCCTGTTATATCTTAGCTCTTGAAAAGTTAGTGAAAGGAAAAGAACCAGTGGTGCTAACAAGCATTTCCATAAGCACAATTTTAAAAGAATAAAAACCAAACCAAAAAAACCTGTTGCTGCTGAGTCAATTTTAACTAATAACTACATACAAGACAGAACAGAACTGCCCCACAGGGTTTCTAAGGAGCGGCTAGTAGATTCAAACTGGTGACCTCCTGGTTAGCAGCCAAGTTCTTAACCACTATGCCACCAGGGTTCCAAAGGAATACAGCTAGATATAAATACTCTATCTAGGCTTTTGATGATTGTTCAAATTTCATTTTAAACTGTCTTTGTGTTTACAGTATGAGAAAAAGAAGTCGGAAAGAGTAATAAAAAAAATAAACAAATTTTCACATACCAGTATAAATAATTAGCCAGTGTTGAGTTTTTGCAGGCTCTTGATATCAAGAAGGTGCAGAGATCTTGCTGAAAGAATAAAAAGAAATATACATTTTTATGTTACCATCTGCTATTAACAGGGGAGAAACATGATAGTCCACATCTGCCTATCAGCTTTCATCTTATATCTTATGTCATATATCAGATTTTCATCCATCCAACTGCTATTTATTTTAAACAGGGAAATATGCAAAAGGTTAAGGATGCCTTGGTTCACAGGGTTCCTTGTCCTTCTGTAGCTTAATACTTGGCAGTGGAGAGACACATTAAAGAAACAGTCACAAAAATAATTTAGACTGGGAGGCCAGAAAAGGCATCAATGAAGGCATGACATTTATGCAAGACCAAAATGACAGTATGTATAAAGGTCCTGCGCTTGTTCAAGCAACTTAAAAAAGTCCAATGTAGCTGAAATATAGAGAATCCTGAAGTAAAGGAGGCTGAAAAGGTAGGCAAAGGCCAAATTATACAAGCCCTTTAAGGTCACACTACTGAGTAAGGATTTTATTTTAAAAGTAATTGATATCCACTAAGAGTCTTAAGCAGGAGAGTGACATAATCTGATTTACATTTTATGAAAAAGACTCTGGATGCTGTGAGAAGTACAGGCCTGAGATAAGTTAGGATGCCATTACAGTAGTCTAGAAGAGTGAATGATGAGTGTGAAAATGGAGACTTAAAAAATATTTTGGAAGTATAATTAACAGGCTTTGCTCATGGAGAAGTAGGAAGTAAAGAAAGAAACAGACAATAACTACCGTATTTCTAGATTTAGAAAATGGATTGATGGTTACGTCACAGACAGAAATTCTAGACAAAGAAGAACAGGCAAGGATAAGTACTGTATTTTAAAAAATTAAGTTTGAAATGCGTGTCAGATATACAAGGGAGATCAATCAGATATTTGGATATATTAACCTAAAACTCAGATGAGAGCTAAGCTAGAAATAGAAGGAACAGTCAGAGAGGTTAAGAGAAAAAGAAGGGATGTATGGTTATCACCTAAACCATGAGAAGAGGCAGATTTTCAAGAAGTGATTCAAGAAGGGATTACTGAATACTGCTGAAAGAACTGAAAAGTGTGTGCAACCACAAATATTAAAGTCATTTATTATCTTAACAAAATAAGTAATACAGTGATAGAAAGCAAAAGCGGGAATGACATGGACTAAAGAGGTAAAACGAAGGAAGGAGTCAGTATGCATAAACAACTCTTTTGAGAAGCTTGACCATGAAGGAAACTAAGAAAATACAGTGCTGTTTTAAGGGGGATGCAGAGTCAAGGGAGAGTTTTTTTTGTTTTGTCTTTTGAAATTTTAAGATGATTAATACTAACACATATTTCTATCAGGAAAGAAAAAGAGCCTATTTTGAAGGAAGTTCTATTTCTTCTATGTAAGAAAACAGAAGGGAAGAAGGATGGGGAGGAATTCATCTCTTTAAATCTGGTGCTGGGAAACTGAGACCATTCTTACTTAGTGACTTCTACTGTTTCAATTAATTATGAGGCAGAATTGTCATCTGAAGAGTGCGGGATAGGGCATGAAGAACAGACTCAAAAAGGGATGAAAGAGTCACGCAGAGCACGCAGATCAACCTACCCAGAGAAAAGTAAGATGTTAGAGCGCGTTCAGTGCCCATCTGAGGTGGTGGCTGCTGTTGTTTGTTGCCATTGAGTCGATTCTGACTCATGGCAACCCCATGTGTGCAGGGTAGAACTGCTCCACAGGGTTATGAAGGTTGTCACTTTTCAGAAGCAGATTCACAGGCTTATGTTCTGAGGGCCTCTGGGTGGGTTAGAAACCACCAACCTTTCACCTAGTAGTTGAGCATTTAAACGTTTGTGCCCCCTAAGGATTCCTAACCACCTGAGGTTAGAGATCATGAATTTATAGTGATACCAACATACTAGGCTATGCGCTTTTCTTGAGCAACATTCAGTTTCTTGGGTACAGGCATGGAGAAATTGGGTAATTAGATTTCTCGAAGGTTGATATTTTGGTAGAGGAACCAGAGGCAGTAATAAGAGAATGACTAAAATGATAAGCCATGGGATAACGGCTATATACTCAGAGGACAGTAAATATTCTAGGGGCTCATGAACAGAGAAAATGGTAGGGATCAATTAGATGTGATGGTTACAATAGGAGTACTTAAGAAAGTATGCTAGAATAATAAGAGGTTGTCACAAAGTGGATATCTCAATGTTTTCAGAGGTACTAGGAACCTTATCTCCAATTTTTGAGCTAAACCTTAGGTCTACATTTAAGAGTGCAACAAAAAACCAGTAAAGAAACTATGTAATCAGAAAGCCATAATGCAAAGTTAATCCATGAGTTTAACAGGCAGAATCTAGGCCTAAAACGTATCTTTTGACCACATGACACAGATACGTTGTAACGGGGACAATCTTCTTTTTATAGACTTAATCGCATATTTAAATAGAAAACATATGTTGTTTCATTTGGTGCTATGTCATTTTCATTAAAAAGTATACAAAGCATAAATAAGAAAATTAAATTAAAAAAAATTGTGAAACAGAAAACATATACCGTAAAACTTTAAACTCACTTTGGCAAGCAATATTTAATTTTTTTAAGCAATCTGAAAATAGAATATGATATAATCAAAAAGAAAATGATCTTATATTGAAGGTCAGAGATATAAGAAGAACTGGTTAGTAAGGATGCAGATAACTATTGCTAACCATTTCATGACTGTATAAAATAATAACAATGATATATAATTTCAGGATTAAAAAACAAGATAGAACTAAATCAATGAATAACAATTACATATAGTAAAGAAGGGGTATAAACTATTTTGGAGGAGGGTAATACTAATTATACTAGACTTAAAGTTAAGAACAGATGTTAAGTATCTGGGATAACCAGTAAGGAACTGATTCAGGATATACAACCTCCAAACCGGGGAGAAGGTACGAGGGAGTGGGGGAATTCAGCCAAAGATAGGAAAGAAGAAAAGAAAAATATTGAAAAAAGAATAGAAAGCACCACACAAGAAAATGAAACAAATCTAAATATAGCAATATTCACCTTAAAAATAAATGAGTAAAAGTTGCAGTTAAAAAACAGTGTTAAACTGGATTAAAAAACATGATATAGGTATACGGTGTTTCAAGAAATAAACCTATAATATAAGGCCACAAAAATATTAAAAGGAGAAGATTAAAAAAAAGTACACCAGAGGCGGGGCCAAGAAGGCAGAGTAGTCAGATGCTTCAGGTGGACCCTCTTACAACAAAGACCCGAAAAAACAAGTGATTTGATTATGTACGGCAATCTGGGAGCCCTGAACATCAAAGGCAGAGTTGAGGAACCGGACTGAGTGGCAGAGGGAGGAAGAGATGGTTCAGAAGCAGCGAAGAATTGCCAGATCTGACCCGGCAAGAGCATGAGCCCTTCAGGCCAGAAGGGCTCATAGTTGAGCAGTGAGGGAGGCAAGGGGCGGTGCTCGGGAGGCACATTTTTCACACCAGGAGAGACCCAGCGACAGAGAGTTGACACAGCCACCCAGAACCAGTGAGAAGCAGATCTCATCGGTGAAAGATAAGTAGTTGTGTGCGGCTTACCACGTGGATCAAAAACACACCCCTTAGGGAAAAACCTCTCTCCCACTTACCTCCCCACTCCCTGCTCTGCACTGGGTCCTGGACTGGCTGCAGCAACTGCCAAGTCCCCTGGACTGGAAGTAGGATCTGTCACACGCCTGGAGTCATTCTCCCTTCCTTGGAGAGTGAACAAATTAACAAACGGGAAAAAATAAACTGCCGGCTCCCGTAAGCCAGGAACCCAGGGTAGGCACAGCTCCTTTGCCTCGGCACAGGCGTAAGGATCCATGGACTTTAAGTGCCTTTCCCCCTGCATAGACTTGTGGGGGCCCATCTCAACAGCATAGGCCCTGATTACTGCAGTACAACAGGGTATATACTGGAAGTCTAACTTCAACTGTTTCAGCTATGAAGTGGCAGGTTCTTAACATTTGACACTGGTCTACCCATTAAGCAGGGTCTTCACCTACCCACATCAGGGGCCTGAGGACTGGTGGCTCCACCCATGCCACCTAGCCACCTGTGGTATGGGCCCATGAACAAGAAGTGCCCCCCAGACCTTACATCCAACAGCAGTAGGTGCTTATAGTCCGGCTGCAAAACCCAAGCACCTATGCGCTCTAGGTAACAGGGACACGCCTTCCTCCTGGACACTTGGGGGCGGCCGGCAGCCCCCTGCCTTGCTAAGAGTGTGTCCCCCTGCTGCAGCCAGATGCCTGTGCCTACACCAATCATCCATGCCTGTCTAAGACTGTAAGTGAAAGCCTACACCACACACTTGGTGGCTATCTACCTGGGCACCTGAGCTGAATCCATACAGGAGGAGTGGCTGAACTACTGAGTTCCCATACCTAGTAACAGACCTAACCACCTGGTGGTACAACATTAGAGCAGCAAAGGTGCCAATAATCAAACTAGCTCATACGAGCAGCCAATTTGGGCATATCAAAACAAGAACCTAGGACACAGTAGGCAAACATAAAATAAATAAATATAATAAGTTACTGATGGCATGGAGACAACAGTCAATATCAAATCAATAAAAAGGCAACACATGATGGCTTCAGCAAGCTCCCAAAATAAAGAATCTAGAAATTTTCCAGAGGAGGAAAATTTCTTGGAATTACTGGAGGCAGAATACAGAAGATTAATCTACAGAGCTCTTCAAGAAATTAGGAAGGAAATTAATCAAAATGAAGAACACGCAATAGAGGAAATTAAAAAGATTAGAGAAAAGCATAACGGACAAATTGAACAGGCTGCAAGAATCTGTAGAGAGACAGCAATCAGTAATCCGGAAGATTAACAATAAAATTTCAGAATTAGACAACTCAACAGAAAGTCATAGAAGCAGAATTGAGGCAAAGGAAGTTAGAATTAGTGAGACTGAATATAAAGCACTTGACACCAACTTATTTGAGGAAAAATCAGATAAAAGGATTGAAAAAAATGAAAC